TTTATCAGACTCATTTTTGCGATCACTCCAAGACACAGTAGTTTGATTAAAGTAGAATTTGGTTGTCACCTTTTACACAACACCACATGAACCATGTTCATTTACTGCATCACTGTCGTCATCTGAATCGAGTCAGATCTGCCAGACGCTGCTCGAAACGTAGGATGAGCAAAGCGACTGCTTTTGTCCTGGCGAGCCGAACCCCAGTAGAAATGTACAATTAAATAAAAGAAAATGTTCTTTTTGATTTTATTCTAGCACCAGAGTGAATATGCACATATTGTTCAACGGCTCAGGTCCAGCTCATTTCATCCAGGACAAAAGCAGTTCAGTGGCGTGAGGAGACAAAAGGCGGAGTGTGACATAAAGAGACGACCCGGAAAAAACCCCATCAACATAAAGGCAACATCCACACAACTACGTTTTACACTTCCACCGTCCACACGAGCGTTTGAGCATTTCACGAGACCGTTCATGGGCAAGTTAACAGGTGTAAACAGGAAGCAGATTGTCCGCTCTGCAGTTGCTTTGGCCCTTTACATCAAAAACTCTCACATCACATCGTCTTTCCAAGTTAACGTTCCTCTTTGTCATCCTGAGGTATTTGGAATATTTTGTGTTTCTGTCTTTTGTTTTGTCCGCCACATGTCAGAAACGTCATCCACACGCCCTCATGTGCGTTCTCACATACAGAAGGAGTTCAGTGCATGTCTGGAAGCAGCTCTAGGTACAGAAAATATTACAAGCGAGGAACAGCATTGAAGTAAAATGTGGCGTTCCCAAATGTCTGTTTTTGACTGTTGGGGTCGTTTCCAAACTTCTGATTTAGAACGTAGCCACAGGTTGAACCCACAAGAATCGGTTCATCCTGTTACACCAGCAGCAGATATTTCTTGTCATTTCACTGCTAATGATTCCTCCCAGACCAGCTGCAGCCACAGTGCCAGGCTGCACTCAGACATCTTAGAAAAACACAGTCCCACTGTACACGCCCCCCCCCTCCAAAAAACCCCAGCAGCTGCCTCTGCAGGAGCGTCTTCAAACATTTGATTAGAGTCCCGAGAGCACTTCTCATCAGTAGCAACAACAGAAGTCTGCTGACACGTTTCCTGCCGGTTAATTATCTTGAAACATCACACGCCCACTCCGAGACAGCTGCTGCCACCCAGGCACTGAAACATCTCATCCAGTTTTATTATTGCTGAGGTGGGAAAACACCGTCCCCGCGCCGTTTTCTCTGGCAGGGGTAGAGATGCTGGAAGGTCCAATTCTGCTCTGAAAAATTGAGCTGGTAAAATAGTGAGGGAGGCCACACTGAGACATCGACGCTAGTTTAATCACCTTGTGGAGTCTGCTTACAGTGGTCTGAAACATTTCATTAATCTTCCTGAACGCCGCCTGCCCCCTGGTCAGCGTGCAAAGCCACAGTGGGAGTCAACCCGGAGACATTTCATCATGCACTCCCACCCTGATCACACCTCTCCAGGCCGACGAGGCCAAAGACCCGAGATGTTTCGTCTCAGTTCTGCCTCGTCCCTCAAAATCTGAAACTGAGCCAACAGAGGGGGTTTGTGGAAGCGCTCGTGTGACTGTCGGGACACAAATCCTCGAACTTGGAAAGGAATATCTTTTCCCGCCCTCGCCAGCTGCTGACGAGGCTAAAGATAAGTACTGCATGTGTGAGAAGAGCAGCCTGGGCCATGAGAGGAAGTAGTAGCCTGTTTTCATTGAGTTGGAGGGAAATAAACATTGTAGGGGGAAACATCTAAACTGAAGCATTTATGTCATTTCATGGTCACAAACTCTGTCCAGTCAGCGACAGCCGCAGTGGAAGTCAGCGTTGGGGTCCACCAGGAGCTTCTTGCGGTCGACGTGCAGACAGTCTATGTGGTACCAGGCGTCGCACACGTCACACTGGATCCACTGCACCGTGTCCTGCTGGGGCAGCCGGCACCGCGGCGCCGCGCACGGCTCGACTGCCCCGACCGCTGTCTCTTCGTCATCTTCTTCCTCGTCATCCTCATCTTCTGAGGAGGAAGAAGAGGAGCCAGAGGAGGAGGACGATGCTGAGGAGGTGGAAGAGGAGGATGAGGAGGATGGAGAGGGGAGGGACGGCCGCGGAGGGAGAGGGTGTTTTCTGGGGCGGCCTCGTCGCTTGCTGAAGAGAGGAAGAGAGAATCAGATCGAATGAAACACATTTCTCATGAATATTTCTATCGGTTCTGTTGAGTTCAGTTTTCTACATTTATTCCCAGGAAATGTGCCCTAACTCCTCCCCTCACTTCTCACCTAGTCTGATGGTGAAATCTGCTGAACTGGACCCTTCCTCTTTCCTCCGTGCAGATCCTCACTGAGGGTGAGGCCAGGCTGTAGTTCTCCCCGCCCACCACCAGAGGAGAGAAAACTGGAGAGCTGTGAGCCCTCCGCCTGCCCCTCTGCGCCGTCAGAGAACCGTGGGCAGCTTTCTGTTGGCGGAAAGCTGCGATGTTACCCTGCACCACCGTCTTGATGCGGTGCATCGTCGCCGCGTCCTGTTTGTGAACCGCAGCGTTGGTGAACGACGCATGAAGGAGGTGGTGGTTTATTCGGCTGTTCGTCATGGCGCCGTGGAAACTGCCAATTGTCCTGATGCCGACAGGGAAGGGCTTGGCCTCCAGGGGCCTCCTGACATCATTGTGGCTCTTGGGCTGCAGCGGCAGAGGAGGAGGTGAGCTGAAACCTTCCGACTCAGACTTGTAGAGCCGCCGCCTCTTCTTCCCTCTCGGTTTCTGTCCGTCCTCCACAACTCCTGTCAGAACTGAACCAAATTGAAATGAAAATGTTGTGAAGGAGGCAATGATCACATCCTGACTGTTTTTCAAATGTCTTACAGTGCAAGAAATCTAACTGCAACTCTGACGCTCAGCTTTTTCTCATTTTCTTGCCTTTTTTGTGCCAAAATAAAAGTTCTTGTAAAAAACGTGTTTGCAGAGAGCTCAGGTGGTTAACTGTGGTGTTTTCAAAAAAACCTTTTCAGAGTCTTACCTCCCCGACTCCTGGGCTCGTCTGAGCTGTCGTCCTCGAGGAGCACCGTGTGAGCCGACTTCCTCCTGCTCCTGGAGGTCGGCTGGAGGGACTTTGTTGAAGGCACTGAGGTTGCAGGCGGGAACGATGGAGGGGTGGAGGGAGGGAGCAGAGAGGAGAAGCCAGCGGCGAGCGGAGGCGTGGAGGAGGAGGAGCCGGGGTCTGAAACGGTTCCCTCGTGGCTGTAGCTCCTCTTAAAGGTCCAGGCGCTGCCCTTCATCTTACTGAGGCTGCCGATGGAGTTGAGGATGACGGTGGCCCGGTTGATTGACAGCTTGGACAGGTCCAGGTTGGCCTCCACCTTGCGGTCCTGGTTTGTCCTGATCCGGTTCTGCAAGTCAGAGGAAAAGGTTCCTGCCTAAGAAAAGAGACGGAAATCTATAATTACAACAGCTCACAAATAAAAGTTTACGGAAATACAAAGATTAATATGAGGGGGGGGTGAGTGTGAATATGGAGAATGTTTCCTCTTCAGTCCCACTCCTCACCCTGAATCTCTCCTGCTGCTCTGTATAACTTTGGTGAGTGGGTATGATCTCCTGCAGAACCATTTCAATATTAACATTTTCTTGCTGCCGAGTAATTGTTTGACCGACATGACGGAATTCAAACATCATTTCTAAACTTCTATCCTTCCCGTCGTCTCAGGGAGTCACACTCAAACACCAGCCTTTCAGAAAACCTGTGTTTTAATCTACAGGCAGAGAAAAGTCAATTCAATTTTATTCGTAAAAGTAAATATATTTATCGCCAAATCATAGCATAACATCTCAATTCACTTATATATTCAATTAAAATTACCTTCGGAATTGTGATGGCATCGAAGTCCAGCGGGCGAACTTTGACCTTCTGGAACAGGAAGTAGAACTCGGGGCTCCCCGGAGCAGACTGGCCACCAAAGGTCAGCGTGTCGCCATCTGAGAGCTCCCACTGGACGCATGGCTGGAGGCGGACCTCGTTGACCCAGGTGCCTGGAAACAGACGATTTGTTTTTTTAATGGAAGTAAAGCCAACAGCGTTTGGCGGCGAGTTCGATCGCCTGGTTCAGCCGCACCGACACGTCAGAGGTGAAGAACTCTGCTTCAAATCACTTGATCGGTCCAAACAAGCAAATTGCTTGGCAGCTGAAGGTGATGTCACACAACTTTAATATCTGAAAGTCTGCCAGACAAGAAAGAATGAATCAAGTGAGCTGAGCGTCAAAATAAAGTCATTTGTTGACTTTCGATGTGTTTACAGCTTCCAGAGTTGAAGGGGAAATGTAAAAGCGTTTGTGAAATGTACCTAGAATTGAGGAGCTGGAAGGCTACAAGGAAATCAAACAGCCATGACAGCGTTGCACAAAATGAAAAATGCACAGTGAATACTAAAAAGTCTTTTTAATAGCAAAAATGAAAAATGTGTGAAACAGACTGTGAAATTACTTGAAAAATTAGGCAGTAAGAGCACAGTTTAAATTCTGAAGCTGTCAGACACGGTCCATCGCCTTTAAGTGAAGACCCAACTGTCTCCCTCTCTCCTGCGTCTTCACCTTGTACCCGTTCCTGTGCACCTCACATTTCACTAACGACCAGTAACATGTGATATATTTAACTTTGTACATTTGTTTCTCACTGCGTCTGATCGCTCGACATATTCGCTGATATTATTCCCCTCGTTGTTTGTTTTTCAGCAGGATTATGCAACAACTACAGCTGGATCATGTGTCCGGGTCGGGAGAGAACTCATTCTGGTGCAGATGCAGATCAGAGGTCAGCATTTTTATCACTTAAAGGTCCAGAGTTTAAGATTTAGGTGAAAGGGAACTATTGGCAGAAATGTAATGGAGAATAATCCTCATGATGTTTTCACTAGTTCATCTCATCTAAATTGTATGAATTGTAGTTTTCTTTACCCCAGAAAAGGCTGTTTATATTTAAATACTTTATATTTAAATACTTTATATTTAGATGGAGGGGACCCTCTCTACGGAGGAGCCATGTTTTTTACATGAGTCCAGACTGGACAAACTAAACAACTTTTGAGTTTTTATGACAATTAAAGTCTACCACAGTTTCTCTGTCATGTTTGGAAGGAGAGGGTGAGGTGAGGGGTGTTCAGCTGCAGCATGACACTTCAACACTAGACATCACTAAATTCTACACACTGTACCTTTAAGTATTGGAGCCGACGCACAGCAGAAAAACGGGGTCAGAGTTTAGCTGCTCTTGAATTACTTTCTGTATCACGACTATTACATTTCAATGTGTCTGATATTCTGTAAGAGATGAACAAACAGGGAGGAGAGCAGGAGAGCAAGCTTCTCTATAACTCTGATGTGTTCAAGTGAAAGTCCTGCAGGAAAAAACTTTTCATATTTCACAGATAGATTTAGAGAATCTGGGGCTTCACAACATCTGCATGATTTGATTACAGCTGTTTCTCAGTTAATATCTGTGTTGTTACTTCTGTAAGTCATGTGTGTCGAGTGTGTGTGTGTCCACAGCAAAATAAAGTGTGTTACTGTGTTTTTCTACTGATAATAATTTTTTTATCTGTGTGTGGGTCAAGATTTAATTTAATCAGCACTTTTATTTCTGTCACACAAGCGAGCAGCCGCCTCACTGTGTCTTTCTAAACGGAAACATTTGTCTTTTTGTCCATGGACATCTAGTAGTGTGTCTGATCTTCTGTAGTGATGTTTATCGACAGCAGATCTTTTAATGATGGCTGCATCCATAAAAATTCATTATTGTGTGAAGATAAGAGAATCATTTATTATTCCCTTAATGGGGAAATTTGCAATATCACAGCAACAGGAGTCTAAAGTCAAAATAGGCCTCTGGAAATAAGTAACAGACAACAGTGTGTAAGTGTAAGGAATATAAAAAAATAGAGAAAAGTTGGAATTAAACTAATATACAGTATAAAACAGAGGATATATATGTGCAGTGTGAGAATAAAACTGAAACTATCTCCGTCTGCACTGGACGTGTGTGTGTGCCAGTGTAAACAGGAAGCAGATTGTCTCACTGGGTTTGGGTTCAGTACAAAAAGCAAAAGTACAATGAAGGATTTCTTATCTCGGCGGTGGAACTGTTACTGACACGTTCCTGACTTCACCTCTGACGGACGAGTCATGACTGATAAGAACCAACCAGGGAGCGAATACAAGTGACAGTGTCATCATTTCCAAACTGCTCAGTTTTTGTCTGTCCAGAGTTTTTTAACCTAAAACATTCTACTTCCACTTTACAAACTTTAGATCGGGGCGTAACCGTAGCAACAGTGAAGTTTTAAAACCAAGACTTTGTTGCATGGATGACTGTCGAGGGGCGTGAATGTATCAGAATGCATCTTTCTAAGTGATGATGATGATGATGATGATGATGGTGGTGGTGGTGGGGGGGGGTGTGTTGACTGAGCCTCACCATGACTGCTCCTGTCTTTGATGTGGACCCTCCAGCCCTCCTCCTGCGGCGCCGCGTCACCGCCGCTCGCCTCCCTCTCTGCGTGCAGCTCGGCGTGGATGCGGGACACCGACGTGGA